TGATTTTGATTTTCCACGTGGTGGCATAATCAGCAAAGGCGTTAAGGCATCGTTGAAGTTTGTTCGTTATTTCGCGAGGCATCCTTCCTTTGACGGCTATTGCGGTATCATCTGCGAACAGGAAAAACACGCAACCGTCTCCAAGGGAAGGAATGTCGGAAGTGTAAATGCTGTAAAGCAAGGGGCCCAGCAGACTGCCTTGCGGGACTCCTGCTGGGATGGAAAACGTGTCGGAAAGACAACCATTTAACGATACCTTAAACGACCTTTGCTGGAGGTAGTTACGGGTGATTTCAATAAGATGTAAAGGAAAGTTGAAGTTACAAAGCTTGTACACAAGTCCATCATGCCAAACATTGTCAAACGCCTTTTCAACGTCTAACAAGGCCATGGCTGTGGACTTGGATACAGCTTTGTTACTTCGGATGTTATTCATCACCCGTACTAGCTGGTGATTGGTGGAGTGCCCCTTTCTGAACCCAAACTGTTCCGGAAGGAGAATGTTATTTTCCTCGACAAACTTGAGCAAACGATTGAGAATGAGTTTTTCGAACAATTTGCTCAGCGCTGAAAGGAGGCTGATTGGTCTGTAGCTTGAAGAGAATGTTGGATCCTTACCGGGTTTGCGGATTGGTATGATTTTTGCTACTTTCCAGATGCTTGGAAAGTAGTGCAGTTCCAAACATCTGTTGAAGATAGCGGTTAGAAGAGACTGCACTTTCATGCTGAGTCTCTTCAAGATCAAGTTGAATATACCGTCAAACCCGGGAGCTTTCATGTTCTTGATGCATTTCAGCGCTGAGCAAATCTGTTGTACTGTAATCATATCCGCCGGAGGCATGACACAAGGGGAGGTATCTAGGTTTTGAACGCATTGCGCAACCTGATCATCGAGCGGACTTTGGATAGTCGAGCCAAGCAAATGCGATGAAGCTACATGCTCGCCGATCGCATTTGCTTTCTCCTGTGGGGTGATTAAAAGCCGATCGTCATCATTTTCGACTTTGAGAGGTGGAACGGGTTTGGGGTGATTTTTCAGGACCTTGGCTACCTTCCAGAATGGTCTGGAGCGGTCATCCAGATTCTGGACAACACGCCCGAAACTTTCATTTCGGAGTGAGTCCATTCTGGAAGCAATCTGCCTATTCAGATCGGCCATTTCACGTTTTTTCCCCAGGTCTCCAGTCCTCTGAAACTGGCGTCTACGAACATTTCTCAACCGAATCAGTAATTGGGTGTGGGAATCAATAGCAACAAACTTACCCCTCACAGGAACTTGTCGAACGTATGCCTCGTCAGCCATGGATATGGCCTGTTGGAGCCCTTCCAACGTCCGGTCGATGTCATCTACGGTGTTGAGCAGTGGATTTTCATCGATGTTGCTGTCCACCATTCGTCCGTACTGCACCCAGTTGACATGGTGGTAGTCTTTACGCAGGCAGCTTCTAGCAGGAACCACGTTGACACCGACTTCAGTCACCACCGGTTGGTGGTCGGAGCTGAGATCGTTGTGCGCCTCCGGCTTGGATAGTCCGATGTTGGACAGGAAAAAGTCCAGCGTGGAGGGATTTCCCGCCGGAGAGATGAAAGTTGGTTCGTCCGGAAATTGCACAGTGTACAATCCATGTTGTGCGTGGTCGAACAATAGACATCCGTTCCGGTTCCTCTGGTAGTTCCGCCAAGCTTCATGGCGGGCGTTCAGGTCGCCCCCAACGATGAATCGGGAGCTAGTACGGGTGATGGCGGTCAGGTCCTTCTTGAATTGGATTCCTAATCCGTTGCTTGCGGTACACTGGCGTGGGCAGTAAACAGCGATGAGCCGGACGTTTCCAGTTGGTGATTCCACCTCCACACTAATGGCCTCGATGATAGAAGTGCGGATGTGGGGCAGAGTGCAATACTTGATTCCTTTTCTGACGATGACCGCTACACCACCCCCCCTGGAGCTGGTGCGATCAAGCCGGATAATGTTGTGGTCAGGCAACCAGAAGCTGTCACCGGACTTTAGGTGGGACTTGGTTAGAAGGACCACGTCGATGCTATGCTTGCGGAGGAAGTCGGCAAGCTCAATCTGTTTTGCTCTTACAGAGCAAGCGTTCCAAGTAGCGATGGTTAGCGGTTTAGACACCATACTGGATGATGAACTTACCGAGCACTTGGATCTGTTCGGGCTTATTGCGGCACTTACGTAGAGCACCGGTCATGTTGACGAAAATTTCCATCAGTTCATCCGCTGAAAACAGATCGGGGTTGTTGTTTTGCGCTGGTGGTTGTCTCCAAAATCCAGGGGGGATGGAGAGCTTTGGCCAGCAGAATCACCAGAAGTTGCTTGAACGGAATGCACCCGCGAATTCGCTTGCCTTTGCTGAGGAGTACGAAGAGGCGGGAAATCCTCCGTCCGAAATGCCGGGACTTTGTCCTTCTTGCGTCCTGGTTGGCTGTTAGCTGCCGCCTGTTTTCGGATCCGTTTGAAGTCCTCGCGTTTGGAGCACTGTCTGTCGGAACCTTGGTGAGCACCACCACAGTTGGCGCATTTTAACACCACAGCTCCATCCGCAGGGCAGTCGGAAGTGGCGTGGTCTTGAGCGCAATTGCCGCAGCGTGGCTTAATGTTGCAGTCGCGGGTGCCGTGTCCAAAGTTCAGACACCGTTGGCACTGAGTCACATCGCGATGGCCGCCACGGTATGGCTCCCAGCGGACGATGATGCAATTGATGGAGCGGATGGCTTTCAGCGCGTTGAGTGTCACCGTTCCCTTCTGGAAGTGTACCAGGAAAAGGCTATCCGGATACGCCTTCACATTCTCGTCTCTTCTTGTCATCCGATAGACGGCACTTGGGGCCAGCTTGTACCGGTCCCTGATTTCAGCTTCGATAAACTTCGGGTCGAAGTTTGGTAGGCCCCTGATGACGACCTTGAATGGTTTCTCACCGGGAATGTCGTGGGTGAAGAATTCCACCTTGGAAGTCCTCAGGTGGGCGACGACCAAGTCATACTCCGCTTTGGTACGGAGCACCACCTTGGTGCCGACTCTGCCCAACTTGTATTCGGCTTTAACGCCCAGCGTCGCTAGATCCGCGATGAGCTCATTAAGATGAGCATTTTTCACTACCAACGGAGGTAGCTTCACTTTTGCCGCACTCGGGCCGGCAGAATTTTCGTTGTCGATGGCGTCGCCGAAATCACCGATGTCGCTGGCGTTCGTTGCTGTGACGTCATCACGTCCACTCGCACCATCGGACTGGCCTTGGTTTTTCTTCCTCTTCTTGGATCGCTTCACCGTGGCGGAGGTGGTATTTCCAACATCGGTGGGAAGAGTAGCGTACCTATTTGAAATAGGTACACTCGTGCTACACTCACCACTGTTCTTCTCCGCTTTCTCACGGAGCCTGCTCCGGGAGCGCTGTCTTCCCATCACACGATGCGACCGACACTACTGACGACGCGAATAAACGTTTGGAATAAGCTATCGAACAACTCGACAGAGCGAGCAATACCGGACTGAACTGTGTCTTCAACAAGTTTAGGTAGCTCATATTTATACCATTCGTTTTTTCCCTCATTTATCCAGCACTGCTTGCTGTGTCAGGATTTCCTTTCACATCTGTCATGCTTCACGCTAATTTAGCTCAACTCAAATGGAGTGTTTCATTACTTGACACAACTCTCAAGTATTTTATTTATTTATTTTATTATTATTATTATTCCGCAACAACCTCATCTACCACACCAACAATAAACTAATCTGACGTTTGTGAAATGCACAAGTATTAGTGCACAAGTAGCATGCGTTAACTTGGGACGCTCCACGGCTCCACTGAGGCTGTGTTCCACTTGGTGAATTTTCACTTAAATTTGACAGATGGAAAATTTTCAAATAACCAGCTATTGCACCAGACTTATTTCTGACAAACCAGGAATCAATTTTGAAAAACACCTTCTCGAAAATCAGATGATCAATAACAGAGGGATTTTCGAACATTATTATTTATTTTCGAAATGGCAAATGTAAGTGAAAATTCACCAAATGGAACTCAGCCTGAAACGCTACGACAATAAGCGGTATCTGAAGCGTCAACTGTTCCGAGCCCTGTATGACCTCCCGCCACTGAAGAAAGAGTCACCCCAAGAGCTGCACGACCTAGTTGATGACTACCAACGGCATGACAAGGCCTTAGCGAAGCTGAACGAACCTTTAGTCCACTGGGACACCCCGTTGATCAACCTGCTATGCTACAAACTGGATCCTACGACCCTCCGAGCCTGGGAGAAGAAGACCAGCAGCAGTGATTATGTCACCTACGAGCAGTTAGTTGATTTCCTATACCAAAGGGTTTGAATGCAGCATCGTTCCAATCAACCCGGCCAAGCCAAGGAGGCCAGTTCCAATCCGATCCAGAAGAAGCCATTCAAGATGGTATTCAATTCCGTCACGACCGAAGCCAAGAACTCCGCTCCGTACTATATCGCCTGTCCAGAGAACCACTTGCTATTCCAGTGTCCAGCGTTTTCCAAGATGTCCGTTCGCCAGCGACGAGAACTGGTATCTCAGAAGCGTCTATGCTGGAATTGCTTCCGCTCTGGACACCGAAGTAGGAATTGTACATCCAAGTACGATTGCCGAACCTGTCACCAGAAACACCATATTCTGCTGCACGAAACTGCAACCACGAAGATACAATCCACTCCAGTAGATATATCTGGTCAGCCATCCCAACAACCGAATCCATCCAAATCGACTGCCGTCGAAACCCCTGGATCAGTGAAACGGTTAAGAAGCTCCACCACACACCCAACCGACCAACACCCAAATGCTCCAGCAGCAAATGCACTCTGTCAACATAGAACATTTGTCGCATTCTCCCATCGCGCCGCTATTTTGTGATACCGCAGTCACTTCGGTCGGTCGTTCGGTCTCGTTGTTCTCTTCTCGTTTCGGATCACAGGATCATAGCTTGGAATGCTTGGTGTTACCCAAGTTGACCGGTAGTCTACCAACAATGACAGTAGACATTAGCACCTGGAAGATCCCCAAGCATCTACCGTTGGCGGATCCTCAATTCAACGTGAGTCATGGCATTGACCTCATCGTTGGCGCTGAGCTGTTCTCGATCCTGCTTCAAGCGGAGCAAATCTCGTTCAGTGACCACCTTCGGGTTCTGCAGAAGACCAGCCTTGGATACATCCTGTCCGGCAAAGTTCCCACTAGCACACGCGCACCAGTTACGTGTCTGGTGTCTACCCTTGATAGCCTAGATGCTCAAGTGAGGAGATTCTGGGAAGTTGAAGACTTCGACCACGGCAAGACGTTCACGGCCGAAGAACAACGATGTGAAGCTCACTTTGTCAAAACCCACACCCGCAACGCTGAGGGACGCTATGTGGTCCGTCTACCAGTTCGTCAAGAGATGTTACCTCTTATTGGGGAGACATGGCCAATGGCCGCTCGACGGTTCACCGCTGTGGAGAAACGCTTTCGAACTGATGATGCCCTTCGTACAAGCTACGTGGAGTTCATGGACGAGTACCAACAGCTCGGTCATATGGAGGAGGTGAAGACGCGCGTCGTGTTGCCCCAGTTTTTCTTGCCCCATCACGCAATTCATCGTCCCGATTCTTCTACTACCAAGATAAGAGTCGTGTTCGACGGCTCGGCCAAAAGCAGCAACCAGCTCTCCTTGAATGACCTTCTGTTAACAGGACCAACAATTCAGCCTTCAATGTTATGCATTGTCATCAACTCTCGTTTTCACCGATTTGTTATGAAAGCAGACGTAGAAAAAATGTACCGTCAGGTTTTGGTTCATCCGGACGATCGGCCACTACAGCAAGTTGCTTGGCGCAGAAAGGAGTCAGAGCCACTGAAAACCTACTGTTAGAAACACCGTCACCTACGGCACATCTTGTGCTCCATATCTGGCAACTAGGGTCCTAAATCAGCTAGCTGACGATGAAGGGTATGACTGAAGCCGACAGCATCGAAACACTAGTTGACACAAGCACCCAACTGGACGACCTACTCAAGAGAGGTGGTTTCAATCTGCGCAAGTGGAGCGCAAATCATCCTAGTATCCTGGAACACTTTCCAGACGACCTCAAGGAGGATCAGTCGTCACTAGAACTTGATCGCTCCTCATCCATCAAAACACATGGTATTTTATGGTCCCCGAAAAACGACGATTTTGCGTTCAAAGTTCCTGATCTTCCACAACTACAACGAGTTACCAAGCGCATTGTCCTGTCGGAGATGTCGCAGCTTTTCGACCCTTTGGGTCTTATCGGTCCAGTAGTCGCCAGCGCGAAGATGTTCGTTCAGCGGCTATGGCAGGAGCAACTGAATTGGGACGATGGACTTCCAGAGACTCTAAAATCTTGGTGGCTGTCCTTTCGAGAATCGGTTTGTGTCATCCGAGATCTTCGTATACCACGATGGGTATTCAGAGATGATGCAGTACGGTATGACCTGCACTGCTTTGTCGACGCTTCTTCGAAAGGATACGGAGCATGCATCTACGTAGTATCCCAAGGGCTAACCGCCACGCAAACAAGTAATCTTCTCATAGCGAAATCCCGAGTTTCGGCACCAAAATGTTGTTTCCACTGCCGAATCCGTCGGCAAAACCATTAACGGGGGCGAAAACTGACGAAAAATGTGCGGGGGTTACTGATCATAATTTTAATTCTTGTTCGTTTCCTGTCTTCTACACTGCATGTCGTGTGTGTGTGTGTGTGTGTGTGTGTGTGTGTGTGTTAGTTGTCAATGCAAGGGTGTGAATTCAAAGTAAATTATATCCAAGGTAAGTACAATTATTACAGGACCGTGTATCAAGAAGTAAGTGATTTAGTGAAGTTGAGTAAAGGTAATTGTTTGGAAGCCGCAACACATGCCGATTGACGTTTCCTCGTGGAAGTTTCCTGAAGTTCCGTTAGCTGATCCAAGCTTCCAGCCGACATTCACCTGATTGTCGGTGGAGAAGTGTACCACGAACTGCACACTGGCAGTAATATTTCCTACGGCGAAGGGCAACCTGTGTTCGTCGAGATCTTTTTCGGATGGACTGTTTCCGGAAAGGTATCCATCTGAAGTTCCAGGTGTTCGTCACCTCACTACTGTGCACCGTAATCTGGAGCAAGCCCTCCAGAAGTTCTGGGAGTTAGAAGCCATTGAACCCTGTTCCAAATTTACGGCAGAAGAAAATCTCTGTGAAGAACTGTATGCCACTACCACCACTCGCGATTCGTCAGGTCGTTATATCGTTTCCTTGCCACTCACCCGCGATCCGCTCGTCAATCTCGGTCAATCCCGTTCGATCGCCGAGCGCCGCTTCCTGAACCTCGAAAAACGACTTGAGCGAGATCCAACCACAAAAGAGGCCTACTGTCGCTTCATGGAAGAATACGAGCGCCTGAATCACATGGTGAAACACTTCCTCTTCCAGCGGTATCAACTTACCCTCTGGCGTACCAGTCCAGACCAACCAATCACTACGTATGAGCTGCAAGCAGTAACGTATGGTTTTGTATCCTCTCCATTCCTGGCAACCCGCACTATCGTCCAGATTGCACAAGACGCAGCCGAGAACTATCCAGCCACAGCCGCGGTAGCCCAGAAGGATTTTTATGTAGATGACTTCCTGTCTGGTGCCGACATCCGCCATCCGCATTCGCCAAGAAATGTCCGCCATGCTTTCAGCGGCAGGCTTTCCGCTCGTATTTTCCAACATCTTGATGCTCACCCATAGCCTGTACTTTCCAAGCTTCCCGACTATTAATTGTAATTGTAATTGTAATTTATTATCGTAACGTTAGCCTGTCGGTTACACCATTGCTCAGGTCAAGGAAAACACAACATTTGATTTTTAACTAAAGGAGAACAATAAGTCATTAGTGGAAGTAGCTTTCTTAGTAGGTATGTAATTCTTAAACTAGGTTTGAGATCCTGTTGAGAGCGCTGTCTTGAATGCGCTGATCGTTGTCTGTCGTCGTGTTGCTAGAGGGAGCTGGTTCCAGATGATTGCACCTGCGATCATCACACTCTTCTTCTTCGTTGTGGTGTGATGGGGAATCGCAAAGCAGCGGGCCCGCTCAAGCTGTCCTCTTCTCAGGTGTTGCTGCAGATAAGGTGGGAAGGTTCCTGCGTACCCTTGGCGAATAAAACAGCTGATTCTATTCCGGTATTTTGTGTCCAGGTCGTGTCCCAAAATAGAGTTCCTTACAGCAGCAGTGGATTCTCTGCGTCTGAGGCCATAGACAAAGCGAACTGCTGCCTTGAAACAACGGTTAATTGATCACGGAGCGCTGATGACAGTCCAGGATAGTAAGTGACGTCACAGTAGGTGAAAAACGGCACGACCACTGCTTGCACCAGCTTTATTCGGGTTTGAACTGACAAAACTGGAGCGAATCTTCGGAGTGTCCGCAACGTTCCAAAAACTTTGGCCGTTATGTCGTTCACATGTCCATTCCACTTCAGGTTGCGATCCATCCTTAGACCAAGATTCACTACGTTGTCAGACAAAATAATGTGTTCTCCGCAGAAAACGATGTTAGTGGTTGGTGCTACCGCTCCTTCTTTGCAAAAAATAATTGCTTGCGTCTTCTTCGGGTTGGGGAAAAGAGAGTTCTGCCTGGCCCATCGCTCTATGCTTTCCAGATCGTTGTTTATGGCTTCGACGAGTTGGTCTACATTTTGGATGGCACCAGAAATGTAGATCTGTAGGTCATCAGCGTAGAGCTGATAACTGCATCTCAGTCCACGGGGAAGGCTATTGTATAACGCTTTGCTATTGAGGCTAAATAGCAAAGCGCTCAAGCACGAGCCCTGGGGTGTACCATCTATCACTGATCTCTGGGAGGACATCACATTTCCTATCCGTACCGCCTGGGTGCGATGATCGAGGAAAGAAGAGATAAGGTCGCATGCATTGTCGGTGAAAGAAAATTCCTCTCGAAGTTTTCTCTGTAATTTGCGATGATTAACACAGTTGAAGGCCAACGAAAAGTCAACCAGGACCATAACTGTACACTGCTCGTTGTCGAAATGGTCATAAATATCATGCGTCACTTTTGCCAAAGCTGTTGTTGTGCTATGGCCCTTTCTGTATCCTGATTGGTTCGATGCAAGCAACCTGCGATCGTCCGCTTCCACGTGCCCAACAATTTGGTCGAGCAGGATCTTCTCGAGAACCTTGGAGATGGCAGGGAGAACACTAATTGGCCAAAAGTGTTTAGGTTCAGTCGGATTTGTTACCTTTGGTATGGGCGTGATGAGACCTTTTTTCCAGACGGCAGGGAACGATCTGGCATCAATCACCGCATTGTACAGGTGAACCAGTACAGGCAGTACAAACGGGACCAACATCTTAACGAATGAGATAGGGATTCCATCTGAACCTGCAGCATTGGTTTGAACTTCCATAATCTTGCGTGATACTTCGTTGGCTGTAGTCCTTCGGAATTCGAACTGCATCCCACCACGGTCCGTAGCGGTACGGTGCGCCGGTTCAACTTCTGCTCTATTGTCAGTCACAAGCAGTCGATGTCCCTCGCAGAAGAAACGGTTCATCTCATCAGGATCAGCATGTTCAGCGGCAACGTTCTTCTTGGCGTTGTTATGTACACCCTCACGCCGGAGGTTGCTTCAAAGCTTTTTTGCAAATTTCGTCTGCATACCGAGTAGTTCAATCCATTTCCCATAAATTCTGTCTTATTCTCTAGCTTCTCATTATTTACCAATCTACAAAAAGCAGACTGTCGTGACCTGACCAAGGTTTCCAGCCTCAGCCATATGTCTGAACAAACAGCAAGCCGGTAATCAGGTACAACAGCTTCACAAATCAGTGATGCTGCTCCGCTTCCATTATTGCTGCTGCTGATGTTGTTAGTGCTGCTGCTTCTGCTGCTGCTGCTTCTGCTGCTGCTGCTTCTGCTGCTGCTGCTTCTGCTGATGTCCTTCGCTGCCAAAGTTAGTTACAAGAATGTCGTCAACGAGCTTAGATAGCTCATATTTATACCCTCCGTATTTTCTCCTCGTTTATCCAGCACTGCTTGCTTTGCCAGTATTTCGCCTCACATCTGTCATGCTTCACGCTAATTTAGTTCAACTCAAATAGAGTGTATCATTACTTGACACAACTCTCAAGTTTTTATATATTTATTTTAATATTATTATTTCACAACAACTATATCCACCACACAGACAAAGTTGACTAATTTCATTGAAGTTATGGAAAACTCAGATGAGCTCAACAAACTTCAAATAACTTCAGTAGAGTTCTCTAAATAACACTATTCTACATACAACATAGAAGTTCAGAGAGAAGTTCAGATAACTTCAGTTAAGCTCTGCTTCGGTAAGGAAAGTCCTATGCGTTCTGATGAACTCTGCCCTACTTCAGAGCGGTTTTACAAACTTTCTAATACTCTTACCAATTTCCTGTAAACTTCAGAGAGGCTATGCATAGTGCAGAGATTTTAATTTCTGGTCTATTCTGCGTGGTGTGAGATGTGACGTGGATCGCTGTCCTGGCGACGTAACATGTCACCTCAACCTTGGATATGATATTTGATGATCACTAGATTAAACTTGAAGTTCCCAAAATTGGGTTCAGAAATTTTTGATGTTCGAAGAATTTATCTGAAGTTCACTAAACAACTATGAAGTGCGCTGAACTTCTTTAGAGTTTAGAATACTCTTTTTGAAGATCACAGAACTACTCCGAAGGCGCTTTAAAGAGTTCCTATGCAATTTATGAATGATCTGATAACTTCAAGAGAAGTTCACTGATCTTTAAAGGAAGTTCTCTAAATTTTAAGCTCACAGTCCAAGGAACGCATAATGAGAAGTTCAGAGATTTTCCGAAGAGAAGTTCCGAGAAGTTGACAGAAGTTCAGAGAACGAATTCTGCCACAAACCCAACATCCCAGGTGTTCCTCGTGGAAGTACAGAGGACTCCTCGGTTTCCATCAAAGTGAATGTCACGTCAACACATTCCTACCCATTCCTTTCTTGACCTGCGTTCGGGCGCGGCCTGCGCTGGTATTGTCTAGTTTGAGATCACCAGATTTTACACATTGAGGATGATTGCTAGTCCCAAGCATCGTCTATTGGTTCTCTGTGTAGTTGCAGCTGATCTGGCAATAACAGAATAGCAACCGTGGGTGGTCAATCATGCTCAATATAGGGGAAGTCCATCGGTTATGGCAGTACTTAAAATTTGCTCCAGTTTTGGTATATGACCGATTCTTTACAATTTTACAAGATTCAAAATGACCGAGTTTTAACAAACATATGAATCATTGTCCATAACAAACAATTCGACAGTGAGCATGCATAAGGGCGAATACGCGATGATCGATTCTCTTCATCGATTTTCTCTTTGCATTGCTACAGCTAAGCGAAACAATTTTCTAGAATTTGTTCAATGCAGAGTAGTAACAGGTTGTATTGGCTATCAAAATCAACAGCAAACGCACCGAGAAACGTTAAATCTAGCGAGTTATTAACAAAAGAGAAAATCGACGAAGAGAATCGATCATCGCGTATAGGCCCTTATGCATGTTCACTGTCGATTTGTCGAATTATAATGTTCGAAAATTCCGCTGTTGTTAATCGTCTGATTTTCGAGAAGGTGTTTTTAAAAATTGTTTCCTGGTCTGTCAGAAATAAGTCTGGTACAATAGCATGTTTATTTGAAAATTTTCCATCTTTAAAATTTAAGTGAAAATTCACCAAATGGAACACAGGCTAAGTCTGGATCTGTGAAAGCATTTTTTTATCTTTCTACACACGTCTGTGCCGACTGGCAACTCTTCTCTCTTGCAAGATAAACATAAACAACACTCCGATGATAGCACTGAGCTGTCAATTAAAAGTTGTTTACGCGTCATGTTAGTGACCCTTCGAAAAAACTCCCACAGTAATTTAGCTAAACTATCACGTTTTTAACTAAACATACCATGCATATCATCGCAAGATGAACCTCAATCCAACCGTGCGGCTTTCCCCATCATTGCTGTTCATTGTTCGAGTAAGTAGCGAATTCTTTTCATTGAAAACATTGAACCGGCTTTCTATCACGTCCACAAATTCCCTCCAACCAGTACGGGCTGTTGCTGGTCCTATCGTTTCTGTGCTACTTCTTCACCCGGACCGGACACTTTGTCTTCGATGACTCGGTAGCGATCGTCAAGAATGCCGACGTTACCAATCCGCGCACGCCCTGGGAGGCCCTGCTTCGACACGACTTTTGGGGCGCCAATCTTACCGACAAGAAAAGCCACAAGTCGTTCCGACCGCTGACGGTGCTCAGCTTTCAGCAGGAAGCTCGCCTATTCGGATTGGATCCAACGCAGATGAAAACCACCAACTGGATGCTGCACACGGTGATTGGCCTATTGCTGCCCACGTTCTTCCAGGTGGTCAGCTGGAAGCGAAGGTGCGAGCCGTGGGGTGTGGAATACTGGTCTGCCGTGCTGTTTGTAGTACATCCGATCCATACGGAAGCGGTGGCCGGTATTGTTGGCCGGGCCGAGCTACTGACCGCCGTCGGATTTGTGCTGGCTGTGATAGTGTACGGTGGACTGATTGAAGGTAAGCTTTGGTTCGTTTCGAAGTGATTTAAAAATGAAAATTTTATTTTCAAATTTGAGTTCAGTAAAATTTGTTACAAGCAAAGCATTTAAATCCTCCACTAGGTACTTAAAATTAACTTAATTGATTAAAAAAAAACTGGTATGCTTTCTACTTAACCTAACCGAAAGTCTTACCGCCTAGTCCAGTAATCAGTCGTCAGAGGGGGTTTGAAACAAGAATTCGTCGGAATCTTCGATTTGGGAACTCGAATTGTGCCAAAATCATTCGTTTTAGAACTGCAATTGAACATGAATTGAGCATTTGATTAGTTTGAAATTTACCATTTCAGCTCACGTTTCTATTTTTAAGTACGTGCTAGTATTTTCAACAGTATTTATTTTAACCGCATTGTCTGTATTATGCAAGGAAACCGGAATCACCATCTTGGTTAGTGTGACAACTGTATTCACCCTTAAATTTATACTAAAACGGAACAACTCTTTTAGGCCACCTGTGCAGCCTTGGACGCGTTGACGCATATCAACCTGCAACGTCCCATCCGTACATTCCTGGACAACCGCCCACTTGTAAATCGCTCTATCATCCTGTTCCTTATGACCTGCACCCTTATCTACGCGCGTCTTCACGTCCAAAACTTCACCACCCCTCAATTTCGCGACAAAGATAACATCGTAGCGTTCAGCAAAGGTACGACCAAGGTCCTTTCCCAGAATTACCTCTACTGTTTGAACCTATGGCTGCTGCTGTGCCCCGATTGGCTCAGCTTCGATTGGGCACTGGAATCGATTCCACTGGTCAAATCACCCAGTGACTACCGAGTCACGTTCATTGTGATATTCTACGTCTTCCTGGTGGGACTGATCATCCGCAACCGACGTCAACCGCAAGTGCTGAAAGGACTTGCTTTAATGCTCATTCCATTCCTACCGGCTTCCGGAATCATTCGGGTTGGATTTGTGATTGCCGAACGGGTTCTCTACATCCCGTCGCTAGGGTTTTGCTATCTCGTTTCGTTCGGATTTGTAAGACTGTACGAGAAGCTAGACATTCGATGGATTCGGATAATGCTCGGAACAGGATTGCTGCTGGTTTGTGTGATATTCGTCCTCCGGACGGTGCAACGTTCTGCCGAATGGGCAACGGAACATATTCTGTTCCGATCGGGCCTCCGAGTGGTCCCGAACAATGCCAAAGTGCACTACAACATTGCCAAGCTGGCAACGGATCAAGGCGATAAGAAGACAGCATTTGCCTTTTACCATCAGGCACTGAAACTCTACCCGGAGTACGAAGTGGCCCACATGAATCTGGGAAATTTGTACAGCGACGCGAAGGACTACCAGCGGGCCTTGAGGCATCTGCAGAAGGCCATCCAGTATCATGAGGACTTTCACACGGCCTGGATGAATCTGGGCATTGTGCATGCAGCGTTGAAGAACCACAAGGAAGCACTGGTTAGCTACCAGCGAGCGCTGAAAGGCAAGAAGCACTACCCCAACTGTATGTTCAATTTGGGAAATTTGGTAAGTCTGCAACAATTTTGATTAAGTTTATACTGAGCATGTTGACCAGATTGCACGAGCTGATTGAAATATTTCATTCAAACAGAATTGTAACTGTTTAAAAGCGTTACTTTAACTTTTCCCCTCCAACAGATATGAGACTGATATGCGAATATAGGTAGTGAGTGATCACTATATGAAGGTCTCGTAACTTTGTCTGAAATTCGGTTTACTTTTGTAAAAGTATACTGATTCCTAATTTTTCAATAAGTATCCTAAAACACTGTGAAACATCAGCAACAGCATCTCAAAACATGCTGCAACAAACTAAAAAGTCCTGAAATATTCCCAAACATGTTTAAACCCTAACACTGTTCTATTGTATGAGAGCTGATAACATCAACGTTGTATGATACTACCTAACGCATCATAAAACAGGGAGCCAAGAACAAATTCTGTGAACGGTACTCGGCTATAGAGAAGGAAGTAAAGTGATCTTGAAGATGGGACAAGCAACCGTTGGTGGACTCCCAGAATGACAAAGGGGAGAAAACCGCAACAACTGGCGGTATTCGACTTCTCTGCGATATCTCACGAAGCCATGAGTGGAGCAAGGATGAACCAAAGGATGACTGTGACAGTTGCTTACCGACTACACTGACCAGTAGAAACTTTGGTTTGAGCACTTAGATCAACTTCTTCTAACAACCAATCAGCGAGCAACATCTCGGTATGAGCTAAGAGGCTCCATCATTGCAGGAGATAGAAGCATCTATCCGAAGCATAACATCTAACAAGGCCCCCGGGGTCTATCGCATTGCTGCAAAGATGCTCAAAGCTGATCCCATGCTATCCGCACAAATGTTAAATCCGTTATAATGTCATTTCTGGGACATTGCAGTTTTTCCGACAGTCTGAATGCAGGGCGTCATGGTGCAGGTCGCAAAGAAATGGGATCTGACTGTGTGCGACAATTGGCGAGGCATCATGTTACTGTGTATTGTTTTTAAAGTTCTGTGCAAAGTTATACTCAATCGGATTCAGGAGAAGATCGGCGAATGGGAGTAACCAACTGTCATAATGGCTGAGTTCTCCAGTTACAACCTCGCCTCCATCAACATCAACAATATCACGAACGGAACGAAAATTGACTCTCTTCGGACCTTTGTACGAACGCTGGAGCTAGATATCGTTTTCCTCCAGGAGGTGGAGAATGATCAGCTCTCTCTCCCTGGCTTCAACATTGTCTGCAATGTGGACCAGGCAAGGCGAGGAACGGCAATCGCGCTGAAAGACCACATTCAGTTCTCGCATGTGGAGAAGAGCCTGGATGGCCGCCTCATCGCTTTGAGGGTGCAAAACACGACTCTCTGTAATATCTATGCGCCATCGGGGACAGCTGCTCGTGCGGAAAGAGAGAGATTCTTCAACGGCACGATCGCATATTACCTTCGGCACAACACGCAACACGTCGTCCTCGCTGGCGATTTTAATTGCGTGCTTCGCCCGAGCGACTCCACGAGTTCAAACACAAGTCCGGCGCTCCGAGCGACCGTACGGCAGCTGCAGCTTCAAGACCTGTGGCTGATATGCGAATATGCACCCCCGCACCCACATACGTTACGCACAATGCGGCATCCAGGCTCGATCGCATGTATGTAAGCTATGGGCTTTGCGAGCATCTGCGAAGTGCTGCCACACACGTATGTTCGTTCACAGACCACAAAGCTCTTACAGCGCGAATTTGCCTTCCGCACCTCGGTCGTGAACAAGGACGTGGATTCTGGTCCCTCCGTCCTCATCTTTTGACTGCCGAAAACATCGATGATTTCCAAGTCCGGTGGCAGTTTTGGACCCGCCAACGGAGGAATTTCCCCAGCTGGATGGCATGGTGGATCTCATACGCGAAGCCAAAAATTAAATCGTTTTTCCGCTGGAAGTCAAGCGAAGCATTCAGCATCTTTAACGCTGAATACCAACGTATCTACGCGCAATTGAGGCTCGCGTATGATGGCTACTACCAAAATCCAGGCATGTTGACGACTATCAACCGTGTGAAAGCGAAAATGCTCACACTGCAGCGACGCTTCGCACAAAATTTCATTCGGATCAATGAAACATTCGTAGCTGGAGAGAGCATATCCACCTTCCAGTTGGGTGATAGACGACGTAAAAAAAAACAATAATCACAAAGCTGCAGAACGAGCGAGGAGAGCAGATTCAAGGCTCCCTGGAGATCGAGCAGCACATGCTCCGACACTTCAAGGACTTGTATGCGGCGGGGGAGACCAGGCAAGTTGGGGAGGAGATGTTTGAAACCGAGAGAGCAGTACCCGAGAACGACGAAGCTAACGCTGCTCTTGTGGCAGAGATCAGCATCAACGAATTGAAAAATGTCATCCGAACGTCACAAAAACGAAAATCGCCGGGTATCGATGGTCTACCGGTAGAGTTTTACCATCGAACTTTCGACATCATCTATCGAGAGCTCTACTTCGTCACCAATGAAGCTATGACGGATGAGCTACTTTCGGAATTTGCCGATGGCACTTTCGTACTGGTTAAAAAGAGAGGTAGCGATGGAACAGCGAGAGCATACCGTCCGATCAGCCTGCTCAACGTCGACTTCAAAATTCTCTCCCGCGTCATGAAGACCCGCCTGGAACACATTCTCCGGACACATCGAGTCCTGAGCGACGCGCAAAAATGTGCCAACACCGATCGATCCATCTTCCATGCCACGCTCTCGCTTAAGGATCGTATAGCACAACTAACCGCGAGAAAGCAAAAAGGGAAAATGATCTCTTTCGATCTCGACCACGCGTTCGATCGGGTCTCTCACGAGTTCCTGCATCGGACTCTTCTATCTCTGGGTTTCAACCAGGGTTTCGTCAGCTGGCTCTCTCGGATCGCTGCTGCGTCTTCCTCACGTCTGCTAGTGAATGGGCGCCTTTCACAGCCGTTCCGTATAGAGCGATCCGTACGGCAGGGAGACCCAATGTCGATGTTACTTTTCGTGCTTTATCTCCATCCCCTCCTCACACGGATAGAGCGAGTTTGTGGTGGTGACCTTTGCGTTGCATACGCCGACGACATCACGTTGATTGCAACCACAACACAAACAATAGACCGTATTTACCAGCTGTTCGGCAGTTTTGAGATAGTTGCCGGGGCAAAATTAAATCGGCAAAAAACAGTGGCTATCGATGTTGGATTCGTCAATGGGAACCCACTTGTAATACCAGGACTGCAGACGAAGGAGAATGTGAAGGTTCTGGGTGTTATATTCACCAACTCAGTGCGGCTGATGGTGAAGCAAAACTGGGATGCTTTAGTAGCCAGAATAACGCAACTTATTTGGTTGCATAACATGCGCTCCCTTACCCTGCAACAGAAGGTGATTTTGTTAAACACCTTTATTACAGCGAAGGTGTGGTATCTTTCGTCTGTAATACCACCACAGTGTGTTCACACGGCGAAACTGACAGCGACGATGGGAACATTCCTGTTTCGTGGGCTGCCCGCACGAATTCCAATGCAGCAGTTGGCACGTAGCAGAGACAAAGGTGGACTAAAGCTACAATTGCCAGCGATCAAATGCAAAGCGCTTCTCATCAACCGCCACCTGCAGGAGATCGATTCCATTCCCTTTTATCGTTCTCTTCTCTCCCAAAATATTCCTCCCCCTTCCGATCTTCCTTGTTTCAAACTGCTTTCTCAGCAGACTGCTTTGCTTCCACCCAACATCCAACAAAATCCCACCAGCGATCAAATTCATTGCCTCTATCTTGAGCAAACCGAACTGCCAAGGGTGGAACGGAACCAGCCAGGTCAAAATTGGAAAAAAAATCTGGACAAATATTTCGTCCAGAGGATTAACGTCGTGCCAACGCAGCGATCTCTACATGTTAATCAACGAGAAGACGGAGCACCGCAGACTAATGAACATTATCGGACGTGCAAATGATTCGAATTGTCAGCACTGCATGGTGTCTATTGAAACGCTACAGCACAAGTTCTGCGAGTGCCCTCGTATAGCTGCAGCATGGACGCACGTACAACGGAAAATAATTACGACTCTTGGCGGATGGCAACGACTTTCCTTCACCGAGTTGATACGACCAATCTTGGGCAACATTGTAGCAGCCAGAAGAAATGAAATTCTTAAATTGTTTATAAAATACATCAACTATATTAATGCAAATATTAATAACAGAATAGATGTAGGTGAACTAGAATTCCTTCTGAATTTAGAAGAGTAATATTTTTTACAAATTGAATGTGATATCTATTAGCTAAAAATAAACAAACTATATTTTACAAAAAAAAAAAAAAATCCCTGTATTTGGTTGTCTACCAAAAAGCTTTCGATCGACTCAATAACGAGAATCTGTGGGACGCCCTGAGGCGCAAGCAAGTCCCGCATAAAATCGTCAACATTAGCGAAGCGCAGCCCTAGTAAAAATAACCATAAAAGAGAGCTTAACAACGTGTTCGGGGTATCATCCAAACCATTTGTGGGATAGTTCACCCATCCGGGATACAGTTCGTTTATGGTATTTGTTTATTAGGGAGTGCGAGCACAGTTCTGCATAACTTGTCCGACCCTAAGAGAAGAGGTGGCGAAAATGAACCAAGAAAAGAGGAAGAAGCCAATTGTCACCTCTTCCTCTTAGCTGCTGATCCTCATAGTAATTGACGAGATCTTGGTAGCTGCAATTGATCGTGTAAAGAACCTTGGGCTACTTTGGCAGCCCACACGACCAATGAGAACGACCCAAATTTGAGTTTAGTGCAAGAACTCAGCGATGATTTGCGTCATGTTTTTCTGTGGAAAATCTCAAAAATTTATCGGAAATGGGGGAGGTAGCTCATCGATTCTTCCGGTTCGCCTCCTAGCATCGTGCTATAAGGTACCAGGCGATAACCAGGGTAGTTGATCAATAGCTTGATGACGTCATTTCGTTGGCGTCTGCTATGGGAAATTCTCATAGCAGGCGTTGACGATGGGACGTTGTCGA